AAGACAACTTTAAATAAAGCTACACTGGTAAGAAGGTTGGTTCGTAATCTATATAAAGAAGGTAAAAATATGCCAGAACATGAATGAATTTCAAGGCATTGTTAATCAGCTAATAAATGTTAGCATGATAATTGAAGATGAAGTCCAAGCTTTATTACTCCTTAGCTCATTACCCGATAGTCGGGAAACTCTTGTTATCTCGTTGAGCAATTGGGCTCTAAATGGTAAACTTCCCATGATATGGTGAAAGATAGCTTGTTCAATTAAGAAGCTAGAAGGAAAGAATTTTCCTCCACAAATTATAAAACAGAAGCAGACATTGTTGAAAGTCGAAGGAGACTAATGTTTAGAGGATCCCAAAGTCAAGATAAATCAAGAGGCAGATCAAAATCCACGAAGAGGTTCACTTGCTTTTATTTTCGTAAGGCAGGATATAAGCAAAATGAATGTCGAATATGGAAGAGGGACATCAGATAAATGAATGACAAAAGTAGTGATAATGAAGACAAAAAATGTCACGGCTACATCAGTTGGTGACGATGTTATTTTGCAAGCGATGATGCATGTTATAACCTTACAAATGAAGATTGTAACTGGGTGATTGATACAAGTGCTTCATATCATCTAACTGTAAATAAAGATTACTTCACATCTTACACTAACTGGCTTCATAAGAATGGGAAATTATGGATCTTCCAAAATTATTGGTATTGGTAGGGTGCAAGCTAACAATATGCGATGTCACATGTTCCAAATATTCAGCTGACTGGTAAACTTTGACGATGACGGGTATTCTAATGGAAAGTGGGAGTTATCGAGAGGTTCGATAATTATTGCTAATGGAAAGATGCAACAAACCCCTTATGTCACAAACGAGAAGCTCTACACAATTGAATGTTGGTGAAGAATGTTCTACTGAGTTATGGCATAAGCAGCTCGGACATATGAGTGAGAAGGGATCACAAATCCTTACTTTAAAGAAACTCCTTCCTTAGAACTTTAGAAGGGTGTTCATTTGAAATCTTGTGTTGAGCTGGAAAACAACACAGAGTTTCATGTCGAACAAATCTACCATCTAAAAGACCACGTATTCTAGATTTGATTTACACAGATGTATGTTTTATGACAGAAAAATCTTTTGGTGGGGCATCTTATTTTGTCAAATTTATTGATTACCATTTTAGGAAAGTGTAGGTTTTGTCTTTTAAAAAGTAAAGGCCAATTCCTTAATGTATTCGAGAGATTTCATGCAAAAGTTGAGAGATAAATGAGCATGAAAATAAAATATGTACGTAATGGTGGTGAGTATAGAGGTCCATTTGAGGAATACTGTAAGAAGTATGGGATAAGCTTGAGAAAATTGTCTCAAAAACGCTTCAACAAAATGGTATTACAATCACTGAAAGAGTTTGTTCACTGAAAGAGTTCGTTTAATATTGTCTCACGCAAAGTTACCCAAATCATTTTGGGGGGAGGTAGTTAAAAATGAAGTTCATTTCATCAGTCTTTCTCCTTCAGTTCCACTTGATGGTGAAGTTCCACGGATAGGGAGAAAACTAAATTATGAAAATTTAAAGGTGTTTAGATGTAGAGCCTTTGTTCATATCCCGAGGGATAAGAGATCAAAACTTGATAGCAAGACAAAAACAATGTATTTTTCTTGGTTATCCTGAAGGTGAGTTTGGTTATAGGTTATGGAGTCTTGCAAATTGAAAGATTGTGAGAAATAAAGATGGCATCTTCTTTGAAGATCAAACCATTGAAGACATACAAACAATTAGGAAAGTTTATAACATCTCGTGAAGAATTGCCTATGATTATGAATCCAGTTCCTTCCCCGGGTGTGGTTGATGATCACGGGGGGAGAAGAAAACCAAAAAGACCATCCTCACAACATTGCCGATTATGATGATAATCATGAGAATGTGGAACAGATAACACAACAAGGAAATCAACCACTACCACTAGAGTGACTATCAATTGCTTAATGAAGGTAGAGAGCCAGTGTCGTATGAAGAGACTCAAAGTGATATTCACCAAAAAGAGTGGATTGAAGCCATGTAAGACGAGATAAAATCCTTTCTTGAGAATCACGCATTTGATTTGGTACAATAACAAAAGGGTCGACGAGCACCGAAGAATAAATGGGTATTCAGATTGAAGACCGAAGACTGAAGAAAATAATTCGCAACCAAGATACAAAGCAAGGCCGGTTGTGAAGGGGTTCTAGAAGAAAGGTATCAACTTTGAAGAAATATTCTCACCAGTGGTGAAAATGTCGTTAATACAAGTTGCTCTCGGCATAGAAGCATGCATGGATTTAGAAATTGACCAATTAGATGTGAAAACATCCTTTCTACATGGTGATTTAGAAAAAGAAATATACATGGAACAACCCAAGGGATTTATGGAAAAGAGCACATGGTATGTTGTTTGAATAAGAGCTTCTATGGTTTAAAGCAAGCTCCGCATCAATGGTATCGAAAATTTGAATCCTTTATGAAGGATCATAAGTATCACAAGACGACATTAGATCATTGGGTGCTCATCAAAAGATTTGCAGAGGGAGATTTTATTACGTTAGTCCTCTATGTTGATGATATGTTAATTATTAATTGTGATACTAATAAAATCGCCAACTTGAAAAAGGTGATGAATAAGGTCTTTGCCATGAAAGACTTAGGACCAGCAAAACAGATACTAGGCATAAAAATCTCCATGCCAGGAAAATAAGAAGTTATGGTTATCACAAAAAAGATATATTGATAAGTTACTCGAGAGGTTTAACATGTATATGGCTAAACCAGTAAGTTCTCCGCTTGCAAGTCATTTTAAGTTGAGTTCTCAACAAAGTCCTAAGAGTAAGAAAGAAAGAGAAGAGATAAATAAAGTTCCTTATTCGTTTGCAGTTGGTAGTTTGATGTATGCTATGGTCTGTAAGAGACTAGACATTGCCTATTCAGTAGGTGTTATCAGTAGGTTCTTCTCGAATCCAGGATAAGAACATTAGGACGTTGTAAAATGGATTTTAAGATATTCGGCTACATAAAAAATATGCTTATGTTTTGGTCAAGGAGATCCTGTGTGAAAAGGATACATAGATGCAGATATCTTGCGAAAGTCATTATCAGGTTATATGATGACTTTTGCAGGTGGAGCTATATCATGGCAGTTAAGGTTACAAAAATGTGTTGCATTATCGACAACAGAAACCGAGTATATTGTTGTGACAGAAGCTTGTAAAGAGATATTGTGGATGAGGAATTTCCCACAAGAGTTGGGGATTAAACAAGATAAGTTTACACTTTTCTGTGATAGCCAAAGTGCTATTCTTCTAGCGAAAAATCCTATCTTGCATGCCCGTTCCAAACATATAGGCGTAAGGTATCAATGGATACACGAAAGTTGTTGCATTTGGAAAAGATCCATACTGATAACAATGGGTTAGATATGATGACAAAGATATTAACCATGCAAAAGCTTCATGTTTTCAAGATAAAACGGGTCTATAAATAATCTCCTAATAAGTCGGAAGGGGGAGATTTGTTGGTTACTCCTCCTTATTTGGAAAAGATTAAATTAGCAATCAACATAATAAGAGAAAAAGAATGAGAGGAATATAAAGGGAGGAAAAGAAGGAGAGTAGTAAGAAAATAAGAAATAATCAATGGCAAATTATTTAATGATAATTTTCACCATTAGTTATGTAGTTATAAACTGATTATAAATATGTAACAGATTAATTGTTAATGAAAATTTAGATAGAATTTGTATAACATTGTTTTGGCAAATAGAGAAACACATTTAACTTTGTTATGGCAAAGAGGCAAGGACATTTAAAAAAAAAAAAAAAAAGCTTGGAAAAAGGAAATATTGAAAAAAAAAGTAAAGAAGAATGTAAAGCACAAAAAAAGGGTTTTGTTATTGTTGTTCTCCCTGTTTTTGTTATTTTGTGTTAAATAAGCTTGGGGGAAAGTTATTTAATAAGCATACTTGGCACTTTTGTTTTGGAATCGTTTGGATCTTGTGGAAGAAGTTCCACCCGTGCTTCACATAGGTTTACCACCAATTTCAAGAGTTCTCCACACCTTTACTCTCCTAGCTTATATGTTAATACCTTGAAAGTCCTTTTGATCTTAGAGGGTTAAGTCATTCAATGATGGCGGGAAATAGGAATCAAGCCTATAGAGCGAGTTTGCAGAGCCAAGATGTCGGGTAACCTTCTCAATGTTTTTAATTTCTTATTTATTTTCCGGTTCCTTCGTGGAATCATGAGAAGCTAACTTGAAAGTGGATTTGAAACTAGTAGAGAGAACGTGGTTTGATTGGTTGAAACAAAAGGTGGAATGTGTTTCCTTTAGTTCTCTATGCTTAGCATTTGTTATGTTTCAATCAACCTTGGACATCTTAGAACGTGCATACCTTTATTATTTTAGAAAGATTGACATTCATTAGTGTTTGTTCCATCATAAAAGTCCACTCTAGAACGCTTGTAACTTTTCTCTTAATTCGATTTATTTTATTTTATTTATTTATTGCCTTGCCTTGATTTTTGTCAAGAGTTATGGGTTAAACTCTTAGGACACCCTTACGAGAGCTTACTCGTCCTCTAGAGCAATCTAAGGGGTTTAAAGTGCCTGATGCATACGCTAAATGTATTCGTGATTCCTACGAAAGTGAGTTAGTGTATATTCTTTCCCTTCTAGTTTTCTTTGTATAAAATGCATCACATTCCCTTGTGTTTCTTTTGTTTTGCTCGAGGGCGAGCAAAAGTTAAGCTTGGGGGAATTTGATAAGTGTCATTTATGTCGCTATTTTTAGGAGTTTTCTAGTTAGTTTTTCATAGTTTTTCTATCTTTTTTACTTGGTTTTAATAACGTTTTACTACATTTGTCATGTTTATGTGTGAAATGTCGTTATTGCTCAATTTTGGCTTTTCTTGCATATTTTGGTGGCTTATGACATTAGATTAAACTTTATTGGTTTACTCTTATGTTTAGGAACACTTGGATAAGTTCATTGCTCAAGATTGAAGAAATATAAAGCATAAAAGAACAAGTAATGAAGAAATGTGCACTTGATTTGCAAAGATCATACTTCAAACGCCGATATCTTTTAATCTACAAAACATTTTGGGGCGATTCCTATCGGAGATGAAAGCTTATCTTGAGAGCTTCCCAACGACAGGTCATATGCTCAATTCCGATGTAAAACGTGGGAGATATGCTCATTTGAAGCTGAGCAGTTTGCCCAGTCCGCAGCCAGGAGCGCCCGCTCCTCAAGGCCGCACGCCCGCTCCTCACAGGGTGTGCAATTTTGAAGTTTGGCTGAAGGTTTGGCAGAAAGTTTGGAGCGCTCGCTCCTGAGGGGTGCACGCCCGCTCCTCTACGCGCTGCTCGACTTTTTGCGGAGCTTCCTAGGCAATTTAGTAAGGGCTATAAATAGATTTTTTGCTCATTTTAGAGGGGAGATTTCATATTTTCAGTAGTTTTAGGTTAGTTTTAGGTTTTTAGAGAGAGAAACTCTCAAATTTTGGAGAGAGAAAGTGAGAGAAACAATGGTTTTCATAGATTTTGGATAATCAAAGGAGGAATTTGATGATTTGAAGATCTCCATTTTATATCAATGAGCATTTCTTACTCTCTTCTCTCTTTATGCTTTATAAATTGCTTTGTTAATCATGTTTGAGTAGATTTCCTTCTACTAGGTGTTGAGTGAAGCTTTGTTATGGTTAATTGAGTTATTTGAGATAAATTTGATGATAATTGTGTGATTAAATTGATTGAATTGATGATGGCATGTTGTTTGTTTTAGATTGGATTGATCTCCCAAGATAGAAAACTTAATTGCATGTTAGTTCTAGTTTGACAAGGGATTGTGAATTAGAATTTATATATTTGATTGCATTTTGGGTAAATTTCTTCTATGCACCTAGTCAATGAGGGATCTAGGCTAGGAATTTGAGAGATTGCTCTTGATGGTAATTAATTCGCATTTTAATTCTTTCTTTGCATGATTGATTATCAAATCGGTTCCCATTAACTTGTTAATTTTTCAAAGTGGATCTTTGCCCCTAGTAGACTTTGTAATATCTTGATCTTTATATGTGTGTTAGTGTAGTTGTAGTGTCCACTATCCATAAACCGACTTCGGCGTAGCTTAATCATTAGATTGAGAACAATCCAACATTACCGTTCCTTGTGGTTCGACTCCGAACTTACCACTAGACTTGTTTAGGGGTTAGTTTAGGATTATAATAAATTTTGTTTGGCCGTGAGGAGGTTAGTCAACGACATAATTTCCCCGCGCTCAGTGATCTTTCCCAACACTTCTCTATACTAGTGTAGGATGAGAAGGTTGTGGCATTTTGGACTATGGCGTATTGTTTTGTTAAGGTTTTCTTGTACTTGTCTATTTTATCGTATTGTTTGAGATATAATCTTCATATACAAACATCAAACCACTCTTAGTCGCTAGTTTTAGTTTTGTGTCTATCCTTGTACATGATTTTCATTAAAGAACATATCTCTAGTATGAATCACCTTTTTTATTTTCATAATCCCATATTCGATATCTAAACTCATCTAGTCATCCCCATCATAGCTAATGAAAGTACATTTCTTAGTTTAAGATTAAGCTTAACCCTGCCTTCATTAGTAATGTGCACATATGCTACAAAACCAAAGATCCTTAACACTATGTTTGGATTGAAGGAAATGGAGGGAAAGAAAGGGAAGAGAAATGGAGGGATAGATTATCTTTCATTTAGATAACAAATGAGGAAAAAAGAGAATTGGAAGGGGGAGAAATGGAAGGATTAAATTATAAGAAATTGATCTCTCCAATTATGAAGAGATTTTGATGGAAAACTCATGTGGCCAATGCCACAATTTGGATTTTTCATTTCCTGCTATAATCGAAATTATAGAAACGCCCTTACGGTCATGCAAAAAAAACTACTCTTTTTACCATGAACAATTGTAATTAGTCCCTTTGAAATCTTCCAATTGTCATCTTGGAAGTTTGTAGTGTAGCCTTTCCGAGCCTACTACCTAACTGATATTTAGTTCTTTCTTTAGTCAGGAATATGCCTTACATCCTTCAGCCATTTAACTTAATTTTCATTACACCTTTACCAATAATATAACAAGGTTGGTCATCTTCGAGGTATACTTTTCTTGGTTTAGGGACATACCTTTTGAAGAAAATCTTTCTTCAAAGTAGCGTGAAATGATGCTCTGGAATCTAACACCCAAGATTCTTCCATGCTCTCTAAAGAACATGTCAACGCATTATCTACTTCTACAAAAGAAGCAACATTTGCCTCTCCCTATACTTCTTGGTTTTTCAGTGCAATCTGCACTGATTTTCATAATGCCTTTTGTTTCGGGGTTTTCTGATGTCCTGCGGGAGAGTTACAATTCCGAGACTGGAACCGGACGCCTGTACCTGCAAAATAACGGAGACTCCTGAGAGCTCCGCCTCCAACGGTCAAGTTAGTACCTGATTAAGGAGTAATCAATACAGAAATTAAAGTAATCAGATCTCTCTAGGTGAGAGTGCTTAGTGTTGGTAATCTGCGTTGTTAGCGAGATTAGCCGGTTGTTAATAAGTCTGTTCTTCTCTGCTTGATCTCTTAATTATTCGGGTCCCTGATTAATGAGGATTAATCGAGTATTTATAGCCTTGGGAAGCGTGCAGCTCTCTAGGTTTAAGGTAAACCTAGGGCTGATCGGGCCTCTAGACTGAATTGGGCCTTGATGGCCGGTTGTCCCACTTGGCATGGGTGGACACGTGGCGTGTCTTAAGTGGTCCGTGGAGGACGTATCTGTGACTGACACGTGGCAAGCTCCTGTTGGCCTTCGTGAAGGACACGTGGCGGAACCTGGTTGGTCCACTTGTCAGACGGTGATTGGTGGATAAAAATCCCCTAATCATTTGCCCCTCACAGGTGGCACGCGACTGGTCACGTGTCGCCTGTGACAGGTGTCGCATGGTGACAGGCGACGGCCCGTTACAGGTGTCACCTTGCAGACGGCCGAGAGATTTTCCCGCCCAAATTTGAATTCGGAAGCGACCCTTCGCCTTCTCATTTTGCCTATAAAAGGAAGTGCTGACTTCGGTCATTTTCACATTTGAGAACTTTTGCGAGAACATTCGGACCCCTGAACTTGCTCTGACATTTTCGGACTTTTTCTGCCTACCGCCTGTTCTGACAAGCCGACTGACCCGAACTTCCAGGACTTCATCAACCGTCACGCGTTCAGGTAACTCAGTTCTCTTACTCTTAATTTTCTTTTTATTTTTTGAAATGGCACCATGGAAGCACACGACACGCCCTAAGTTAGTGATCAGCCGGTCACCGGGGACGGCTGAATCTAGGACTAGGAGTGCCGCCTGCCCTTTTCTGGACCCATCTTTGCCCTTTATACAAAGTCCGACTGAATCTGTGTCTATGCAGAACGTGATGGCCAGAACAAAAAAGACTGCCATGATATCAAACTCAGACGGCTCCTCCCAAAGGGTGCTCCTTAGCGAAACATCTGACCAGGCGCCAGATGTAGAACGAGGCGACTGTCAAGCTGACAGTTCTGAGAGAGGGACCAAGGTGTTCCCTTCTCATCTAACCGTGGACATGTCTAATTTTCCTTCTGCTCCTTCTAAGGGAGAGGAGGCGGGCCCCTCTAGGAGAGGGGAGGAGTCGTCCTCTTCGGACTCGTCAGGGGACGAGTCCGAATCCAGCTCTTCTGACCATAGTTCTTCTGACTCAGAAGAAAAACATAGCCGCCTACAAGAGGCGAGAAGTTCTCATGCAGTGGAGAAGGGGGATAATTGGGCAGAGCCGTCTGCCTCTTACAGAGAGGAAAACGCCCCCTACTACTGCAGGGTACCCCGGGGCCGGATCGCAACAATGCGAGACAACGTGGCGAGCTTTATTGCTAACCACAAAATGGGCCCGGAGTATTTACTGTTTGTGCCGGATCCAGAAGATACTGTCGTCTGGCCGGCTGGTACCAGCTATGGTGACGGCTGCTTTGGCTGCTATGTGGCGGCCATCAAAGCTGGACTGCGCTTCCCATTACATCCGGCTGTTCAGCGGATTTTAGATGGGTATGATCTGGGGTTATGGCAGTTAGCCCCCAACTCTTGGGTAAACGTACTCGGCTATGTGGCCGGGTGCGAATTGAACGGGGTGGAGCCAAGTTTTGAGGCTTTCGCCCACATGAACTATCTCAGCCGGACCCCTAAGTCGGGAGGTACCGGCTGGTATCAATTAACAAGCCATAGGGGTTACCTCATGACGAGAGGTAAGGCAAACAAATGGAAGGATTGGCGGAACACCTTCCTTATTATCGAGAGTTCAGACACGGAGCTGAACAAACGTTTTAACAAGTGGAACAGGGATCCGCCTCTTCTCGCAGGCGGCCGCAGCATGCCGCCTGTTCCCCCAAAGGCTAAAAAAGAGATCCTAGACAAAGGACTCTTCAAAGTAGAGACTAGGGTGAACTCTACTTCAGGGGTACGAGAGCAAGTACCCCTAAACTGCGTCCCGAGCTTCAAGTGGCTCTATGACGAGTACTTCTTGGCCGCCTGTGGCCTCAGCAGTCGGTGCTCTAGAGGTAGCCGGCCTGACGAATACTCTGTTTTTTCGCGCCTTGTTTACTTTGGATTTTTACTAACTTTGCTGTTTATTTCTTTCAGCCGACGCCATGAGTAAAATAACAGCATCTAAGACTGCGGCGGCCATGCTGCGGGTTTCGCTAATGAAGCAGTCGTACGCCGACTCCCCCAGCAAGGAGGCACCCTTGGTAAGCTTTGAAAACTCTTCTCCTTTTAGTTGTATTATGCATATACTAACTCTTTTTGTCTTCAGTCTGGCACTCCAAGGGCTTCTTCCTCGCAACAGCCGGACCCCAAGGCCCGGAGGACGACTGTTGCAAGCTCTCCTGGGTCTTCCAGGAAAACAGTGGCGGCTGAAAAGCAGCCGGCCACTTCTTCAAAAACCCAGGCGGGGCCGCCTAGATGTATGGACACTTGCTTGTCAAAACTCACCCTTGCTTCCTTTTTGATTAGATCTAACTTGTTTTTTCCTTTCGCTTAATGCAGCCGGCCCCCAGGGTCTAGACTTGGTTGAGGTAGCCAAGTCTATGGTTAAAGTAGTTCCTCCCTCTGACAGGGAGACGGTCAAGGGTGCCGGCACCCTTGACCTCGATGGAATTTCAGGGATCCTAGCTGAGGTATACTTAGCACCTTTTTGAGCTTTTGAGTTCCAGGACGCCTGTTAACTCTTTTGATTGGAAACTGACGCCTGTTTTTCTTTGTACTTAGGCCCTGCTCCGAGTCAACAGCCTTCGCAAGCTAATTGATCGGAAAAACAAAGAGGTAAAGGCCGCAAAGGCTATGGCCGCCTCCAGCTGTGATAAGGCAATGTTTCAAATTGCCCAAAATGAAGTACTGACCAT